GTTTTGCGCAAGATTAACGACAATTTAAGACCCAACGGAGGAGCTCCGTTAGGTAAATTTACTTTCCAAAATTCACTCTCTGTAAGCATTCATTTCATGCCATTGTTGATGTATGTTGAAGTCCTACTCACGTAGGCAAATTCTAGTTAGGTTTAGATCTTGTTCTTGATGATTCATGTTATGTGCTTGAAACTTTATGGCTTCGAATCTCTTTGTCCTTGAGTGATACATGAAAACAAACCCTAGAATATTGATGTACGCAACGAGAGCTTTAAAACGGTATAAGATTTTGCGCGTTTTGATAAGGTTCTAGGTCATCAACTCCGGCCAGGCTCACCGGAGAAGATGATCGGGGAACATTACCCCCATCGTCTGGTTCTATTTCTGTTTGAGTGAGTCAGCATGCCACGCGCGTGTTTGACCTATTGACTAAAGCTTGATCAAAGGCCAGGATGTGTTTGACTGGCCTGATTGAATTTGTTGACCGCCACGTAATTAATGAAACGGATCGTTTCATGTAGTTTGCAGCTGGTTTTAGTTTTGGGCCCCAAACACTATCCACACCCCCAGTCAAACCAAGCCCATTGGAATGAACTGAATAAAGTTGCAATTTACCATGCGCTAGTTTTTCTTTTTCTTTTCATTTTCTGTCTCAATTTTAATTCACCAAAAATATATCCAAGTATCATAAAATCCCTAGAAAAATATTTTTGGATACTTCAAGATGTTAACTAATTTCTGAAAATTTTTATTTTCATTTTCCAATAATTTTTCAATTAATAAAAGAATTAATGCTCGGATATGTTTTTAGTTGATTAAAATTTGATCCTATTTGTTCTTGATTTTATTTCTTGATCATCCCTTCTGTCCAATGAGTGAAATTTCTTCCTCATATTCATGATGAGTGGAAGAAATTTTGAGGACCATTTTGCCCCTGTTTGGATTATTTTAGGGTTGGTTTTGAAGCCACTTTTGATCACCCTCGATTGATCCCTTTTATTTGGTGTACCCTTAGGATTTTATTTCCTTTTGCATTGTTTTGGTAGGACCTTGTCCCCATGCTTTTGGCCCCTGGTTGCTAACACCTTTGGGCTCCTTTGAGATTTTATTTGGTAATTTTTGAACACTTTCCTATTTTAGAGGTAATTTCCAAATTAGGTTGCCTTTAAGGGATGTTCATACAAGTACATGACCTAGTTTACTTTGGAAATGACATTTATGGGTCCATTAAGCTCTCCAATCTCTTTGATACATGCTTCTAACATGTTGAAGTGTGTGGATGCTCATTTATAGGTCAAAATTTTGTTCATATCTTGTTGAAATGTGCTTTCCTTCTAGGCTTTCCATCAGGGTTTCAATTGTTAAATGTGTTGAATGATTCTCATCTTCTTCCATGCTTTTGCTTGCACTTCCTTGTGTGCTTTTCTTCATTTACCTTATCCACATTCTCTTACCCTCTCTACCTCTTTCCAATGACTTTAGGAGCCTATTTGTGATTGCTTAGTCCCTTCTTTGGAGGTACTTGAAGCATGTCATAAATGGTGCTTCCTTAAGGACTTCTTTGTTTGTTTTCTTGCATAACCATTGAGATTGCTTATGGTTGAGTTACCCTTATGAGTTCCCTTGGTTCTCACATTGCCTCCCATGCTCTTATTGGTTTATGAACTCTTGTCCTTTCATTTGCTTTGCCTTAGGGCATTGTGGTTGATGCTTGAATGGTTGTAGGACTTGTTCTCCCATTCTCATCCCATTTTATATGTAATTGTATGCTTTCTTTTGGATTGCCTTCTTCCTTTCCTTTTGCATTTCCTCCTTGCATTAATAAAGGTTGAGATGTGCTTGTGGAGGTATTTACCTAACACTTTTTCTTCTCTTTGCTTTTGTGTTGCATTGCATGTGCATATTTACATCTTTCATGTTATATTATGCTTCCTTCTTCTTCTTTCTTCTTTGCCATGTTCCCTAAGGATTTATAATCCTTTGAGATTATGATAAACCTTAGGCTTGAACCCATGCATGACAACATTAGGTAGAATTCCCCTTTACCTCAACTATAGGTATACTTTGCATGGCAACTACTAGGTTTGAGTTAGTCTCCCTCTAGTGTGTCCTTTCTCTTCTTATCTTCACACAAGTTCAAAACACTTAATAAGGGCTAATGAATGTTGTACATTACGAGCCTTAAGCTACTTGGGAAATGGTGATTTAGGGGCTTCCTCTCAATGGCCTAGAGTGTTTAGTGTACACCCTTTGGGTGATATGCGATGCATTCGCTCCTAGGTCATAAACTTTAGTGCAACAGGAATTACAAACAATAATCAACACACTTCTTCTCTTAAAACACACCAAAACAAACACTAAATCATTTTATCCTTCGGGATCTTAATAATGGAAAACCTTTTTCATAAAAAGAGTTTCGTTAACTCTTAGTTCTATCGCAAATAGGTAACGCCTAAGTCTCCAATGGTCGAGCTGCATACACCTAACTGCTAGAACTAGTTGTTAACCCTACTCGAGTAAAAACATTTGAACCAACCGGTGTTCTTGTTAGGCCGAACTACGGGTTCTCTAATTTCTCATACCAGATGGGAATACGTAGGCACAAAACTTGACGTCTTGGCGAGCAACCTTCCCCCACCTTTCACCCGTATTTAGTTAATGGAAGACAGATAGAATTAGCACATTATATTCCGTCGATCTTCGTTTTAAACTACGGGTGAAAGGTGGGGGGAGGTTGCTAAGTCTTATGCACCCGTAGGCACAAGACTTGACGTCTTGGCGAGCAACCTATATTTAGTTAATGGAAGACAAATAGAATTAGCACATTATGCACATTATGCACCTAGATATAATTATCGTATTAGTTTAAAGTTAACTTCATACCTTTGAAAGTAATTCCAATTGCAACTGAGGATGCTAGTTTATTTGCTGAAATGCTTATTATAATTGGAGGGGATATGAAACAGTTGGAGTCTTATAATGTACATAATTCTTATCTATACATTATGAACGCAGGGTAACTATGACCTTGTTGGAAACAACTTTCCTGTCTTCTTCGTTCATGACGGGATGAATTTTCCAGATATGGTTCATGCTCTTAAACCCAATCCCCAGACCCACATCCAGGAGAATTGGAGAATTCTTGACTTCTTCTCCCACTTTCCAGAAAGCCTTCACATGTTTTAGAGAAAAATAAAATAAAAAATATATTATATTTCATTAACACAACTAAATTTAACATCCCAAAAGTTTCAAGTCCAAGTCTTTAATATCATATATTGTTGGGAAATAAACATCATCTCAACATTTAAGGAAAAGAAAAATAGGAGAAAATAAAGTACTACTAAATGATCAGTATTCTAGTACAATTCTTCACAACAGCAGGCTGGGCTGTATAATTCGTGACAATTATCAATTCAACGAATAGAAAAGTAACAGTTAAGCTAATTAGTGAATGTACTTGTTGGCTAACCTGTGGAAGGGAATCTCACTGCTGCCCAACAACATTCATAACTCGAGCAATCTCAACTCGGTCAAAGCAATTTCTGCTACAAGGTCTGGCTGCAGAATACCATAAAAAATCAGCAACGGGAACTTCTCCCTAAATGTGAATGAAGTTTTTTTCTGGGTCAAGTAATATAACTACTTGATTTTTCTTTTGCATTTTTCTAAGAGACATTATTCTAAAATAAATTATTAACAAGCCAAATGGAAATAGAATCCAATGCAACTGTTGGAATAGAAAGCAACCCTGATATGAGTACTAGTCCTTTATTGTACCATATCTCCAAACTACAAAAACATACATTTCATATTTTTAAAATATATAAACTCGATAGGATCGTGTGTGACCAAACATCTTAAACATATGCTCAGAGCTACGTCGAGTGAAAGTAAGGATATAGTCATACCATAACATGACAGCAGAAGCAACTGTTAGTTTGAAGTAAGGCTAGATTCCAACGAATGCTCTCTTAGTGAAACCCATCCAAGTTTCTCTGCATTTCGGGCTAAGGAGTTTTCGTGTCTTTAAATCCTTGAAAAACTCCCTGCATTGCTAATGAAAGAGTTGCAGGAGCACCAATAGACCACAAATTCAGGTATTGCTGGGCTAAGGAATTTCCATCTTTATGCTTCATGATTCTAGATTCTTATTCCACTAACTATCTATCTGCAGAAAAAAGAACAACAAAACTTCAGGATAAAACTATCATAACTATTCAGATCAAACCAGTGCCAAAAGGAATAAGAACAACAACACACATAACAATACTATGTAACAAACATAACAGATATTCCAATGGTAGATCCAAATTTAAGAAATATTTAAATAATAGTAACAAAAACGAAAGAGAAAAATAGATCAATGGTTAATTATACATTAAACACCGACCATTAAATGGAATCTTATTCTATTAGTACTAACTACCGACATAATTAGAATTCAAAAACCAGCTACTTTTAACATTTTATATAATTTCACAATTGCTTTAATGATGTTCACATGACATTGGGCCCCAGATACATGCTCCCATCATTGACTCAAAAAATTGAAAAAAGCATAATGAAACGTTGGATCTCGCAATTTGTTGTACAATATTCTTGTACGTAATATTCTTCAGCCACCTGCATTTAGAAAAAGATATTAAGCACAAATAGAAGTTCCATAATGAAGTCATATAGAGACATGTTTTCAAAAACAATATATCACTTTTATGTGTTCTCATTAAATATCTCTAAGACTTAGCAAGCCTAGAATTTGCCAAACCACACCCAAATTAACAAAATCGGTGACAGTAAAATGCCACTCTTCTATTTAAACACAACTAACCACCTAAAATAGGCCTAATTGCTTGGGCCTTTGAACTTATGTTTCGCATATACCTTTTTAATACGAGGTCTATATTATGATGAAACCAAATAAACCATTTTAGAATTAAATTAGTTAATGTATAGCAATTTAAGCCACCGTGCCATATACCCATCACTTCTTGACTTAGTTAAACATCCACAACTTTGACAGTTGGAAGAAAAAAACACTTAGAAGCTCCACCAAGCCTTATTTCATACATACCTATTAAAAACACAGAAACATTTCATCAAACATTTAGAGTGCAATAAAGGAATTTCGTAAAAGATATTTAAAACATACAAACATTTTTCAATCATTTAGAGTGCGATAAAGGAATTCCAGAAAACATATTAAAAACACTATGAGACATTTCATCAAACATTTAGAGTGTATCAAAGTAAAAGGCTTCAATTCTATTAGTAAGAAATACAACAAATTCAGTAACATGTAACTATAATCAACTATGGTTTGTTCAAAGCATCTACAACAAATACAACTATAGATACAACAAATTGAATAAGAAGAATACTTACATTGTTCATGTTGCCAAATCCACAATGCCAATAAGCTTCGGCCACCATTCAATCTGGTACAACTCAATTCTAAAGTCAGTATCCGAGTTAGCTGAAGTGCTCTACACCTATGATAAAGCAATCAATGGATTCTCAACAAGTTTGACAGTTGAAGAATATCAGTTACTAAAGAACCAACCAGAGATTCTAAAGGTGACACCAGATAAAAACACTTCTCCTAACAACAAAAACAGTAATCTGCATACTTTTCAGAAGATGATTTTAACTTTTTGTTTTGCTGAGAATCCCTTATGTCAATATCCATGTTTATTGAGAATAGGTTCTATTCACGTGTTCTTATTGATGTCAATATTGATGTTTAATTAGAGGAACTGAATTGTTAAGTAATTTACTTGGATGAAACCACATAGGTAGATGACAATGGTTTATTCTCAGAATGGTGGAGCAACCATGAATTTAACCTGATAATTAAAAAAAATAGTAAGAGAATGTGTTGCTTCTCTTCAACTCATAACATTAATAAAATTCTTAAAACAAAATCATAAAAATCTATCAAGATAAATAAATACAAAAACATGTGGCATTATCAAACTACCATAAAATTGCAATGTTCCCAAATCATGATTCATCACTCTTATTTCTTTAAGGAACATTTTCACTATTATTTTAATTGTTTCAGAACACATCAAAATTGCTTCAAAGATGATACTTAGAATTCCACTTAGATTTAGATAACACCAATAATATTAAGTTCAACCAAACACACAACTGAAACAAAATAATTTATATAGCTCTCAATCTAATATCACTTTGCAACAATTTCCTCATAATTCAGTTACAAATTATATAAATCATTTGTAAGTAATTGTAAAAAACAGACTAATGATCTATTTAGATAGAGAGAATGAGAGATTATGGATAAGCTACAAGTGACTGGTTGGATGAATCCCATCGAAACAGACAAACATCGAACTGAGCAAGACGACCTGCTCACGGAGTCTCTGATCTTGAGATGCCTAACGTCACTCTAAATCAACATACATAAACAAATAATGGATGACAATGTAAATTGAAGTAAAGAAACAAGCAATAATAGGTCATTATTTTCAAAGTAAATCAAACAAAAGGTTTTACACATATCTTCTTAGACCAGCTTTGTGTTCGTTGAAATTCATTACACCACTTCTATCAGTATCATAGCCTGGAACGTTTCACTTAAACCGAAAAATCCTCCTGAAATAGACATATGCAGTACCAGTAGTTTGGGAATAAAAGGAACAAAACCTAAACCCCAAAATCAAAAGAAAATGAACCAATACATTATTCCATGGCATTAAAAAGAGTAAACCCTAAATCCCCAAATCGAAACAAACATTTTCAGAGAGATACAAAACATAAAAACGCGGGTAAAACATACCTAGTCTGAGTATCTTTGTGCATGAGATATGAGAGAAGAATGACTGTACGATTTTGAGGTTCGATAAAACACAGTCATTTTGTAATTTTTGAAAAATGGAATATGGTTTCAGTTTGTTTGGATAAAGTACAAGGTTTACGATTCTGAAAGAAAATTAAAAATGGAGTAGAAATTAAAAACATAGCCACATGAATTAAAAAGGTGATACTGAAACATGACTGTGGGTGGAACACGATCCAGAAATTTGAGCAAGGTCGGTTCTTGTTACCAAAATTAATTTTAATAAAAGTTAACTATTTATATAATAAAAAAAAAATATTTTACTATTATTTTAGACAAAAATATTAAGCTACATTGTCATAAAAATTATAATAATTATAATAATTATTTATTAAATTAATTAATAAAATTGAAAAGATTAGAAAATAAAAATGAAAAACAAAGTAGAAAATTAAAGGAATAAAAAAAATAGGGATTATGATTGGCTAAAGTAATTGCGACAGTTTGCCTTAACTGTCGCGAGTGTGGAAAGAGGGCGGTTCTTTGGTAACTGTCGCATTATTTTATACAACATGTCTAAAAACTTTGCGACAGTTGGCTCAAACCGTCGTGAGAACTGTCGTAGTCCAGGAATAAGGACGGTTTTTTGATAACTGTCGCAAAAAATCTACGACAGTTGGCCCTAACTGTCGTGACAACCGTCGAAATCTAGGAATAAGGACGGTTTTGTGATAACTGTCGCAACTCAAGTGTCATAAATCTTCTTTTTTCTTGTAGTGTAATACCTTCCCCTTACGTAACCGGCTCCCGAACCCGAGACATGGTTGCGATGACCTGTCTTCTCCCGTTTCGCCAGGTTTTCTCTAATCGTTTCCTTTCCCTCTTTTGGGATAAATAACGAACGGTGGCGACTCTTCTGTCATTGCCGACACTTTTTTTTGCAGTAGCGACACTGAGCATCTGAAAATTTTGTGTTATCAGCGTTGAAAAAGGAGCAATTGTATGCAAAACTGTCAAGGTGTGAGTTTTGGTTGAAGCGAGTGAGTTCCTTGGTCATGTGATCTCGAGTAGAGTTATTGCGGTTGATATGTCAAAGGTTGAAGTTGTATCACAATGGGAAGCTCCAAAACCTGTTTTTGAGATTAGAAGTTTTCTTGGGTTGGCAGATTATTACCGAAAATTCATTGAAGGATTTTTACAGGTTATCTTTGCCATTGACGCGGTAGACTAGGAAGGTTCAAGCTTTTTTTTGGATGCAAAGTTTGAAGAAAGTTTGAAGAGCTTTTAGGGGGCTGACAACAGCTCATGTTTTGATTGTTGCCGAATCCGGCAGAACCATTGTTGTATATTGTGATGCTTCATTGATGGGATGGGGAGGTGTGTTAATGAAACATCAGCAAGTTTTATCTTATGCTTCAAGGCAACTTAAAGTTCATAAGAGGAATTATCTAACGCGTGATTTAGAGTTGGTTGTTGTTGTGTTTGTGTCGAAGCTTTAGAGGCATTATTTGTTTGGCTCGAGATTTGAGGTGTTTAGTGATCATAAGAGTTTGAAGTATTTCTTTGATCAGAAAGAATTGAACGCGAGGCAGAGGAGATGATTGGGACTTCTGAAGGATTATGATTTTGGTTTGAATTACCATTCGGGTAAAGCAAATGTGGTAGCTAATGCATTGATTTGGAAATCATTGCATATACCGATGATGATGGTAAGAGAGTTAGAACTGATTGAGCAATTTCGTGATATGAGTTTGGTTTGTGAAGAGACTTCTTATGGAGTTAAGCTTGGTATGTTGAAGCTTACTAGTGGTATTCTTGATGAGATTCGAGCAGGTCAGAAATCTGATTTGAGTTGGTAGATCGGTTGAATTTGATGAATCAAAGTCGAAGAGCTGATTTTTGGATTAATGAAAATGGTATCATGAGATGTCATGATAGAGTTTGTGTCTCAGATATTGTTGAGTTGAAAAAGAGTATTCTTGAGAAAGGACATTGAAGTATATTGAGTATCCATCACGGTGCTACGAAGAGGTACCATAATTTAAGGAAATTGTTTTGGTGGTCAGGGATGAAGAAAGAAGTGGTTGAGTTTGGGTATACTAGTTAGAATTGTCAGAAGTCGAAGATTGAACATCAGAGACCGTTGGGTCTGATGCAACCGTTGAATACCAGAGAGGAAACACGATAGTATTTCCATGGATTTTGTGTCGGGTTTACCAAAGACTTTGAAGGGATATGATTCAATTTGGGTGATTGTGGATAGATTGACTAGGTCGGATCATTTCTTACCAATGAGGATTAATCATTCTATGCTGAAGCTTGTGTGTTGAGGTTGAGTTCTGCCTATCATCCACAGACGGATGGACAGACAGAGAGAACTATCCAGTCTTTAGAGGAGTTGCTAAGAGCTTGTGTGTTGGATCAAGGTGGACCGTGGGATAGTCATTTTCCGATGATTGAGTTTACCTACGTTGACAATTATGATTATATTATCGGAATGGCACCATATGAGGCATTGTATGGTAGGAGATGTATGACTCCTTTATGTTGGTATGAATCAGGCGAGAGTGTTATACTCGGACCTGAGATTGTGCAAGAGACGACTGGAAAGATCAAGATGATCCAAGGAAAGATGAAAGCGTCGCAGAGTCGTCAGAAGAGTTACCATGATAAGAGGAGGAAAGCACTTGAATTTCAATAGGGAGATCTCGTGTTTGAGAGTTACGTCGATAACTGGTGTTGGTCGAACTTTGAAGTCTCGAAAGCTCACACCGCATTTTATTGATCCATATCAGAGTGGCGCAACGGAAGCGTGGGAAGAGCAGCATGTCGTATTGCTTTACCGCCGTCGCTTGTAAATTGCACGATGTGATTCATGTGTCTCAGTTGGGGAAGTACATTGATTCATATGGATGATGTACAAGTGGGAGATAATTTGATTGTTGAGGCATTTCCAGTTCGTATTGATAAACGAGAAGTGAAGCAACTGCGAGGTAAAGATATTTCCTTGGTAAAGGTAGTTTTGGGAGGACCAGCTGGAGAAAGTTGGACTTGGGAGCGTGAGGATCAAATAAGAGAGTCGTATATGACTCTGTTTCCTTGAGGCAATTTTCGAGGGCGAAAATTCTTTTAAGTGGGGGAGAGTTGTAACACCCCAAATTCTTGGAATATTTATTTAATTTATTTAAATATGAATATTCGCATTTTTGGTGATTTTCGGTGGTTGGTGTGAAATATTGGGAATTATGGAGTTTTGAGTTATTTATTTAAATAATAGTATATAATATGAATATATTAGTATTATTAGTTTAAGTAAATAAAAGTTAACTAAGGACAAATTGGACAATTAAGGAGGAGTTAGTGAGGATAATATTGGAAAAGCCCAATTTTAAGGCCCAAAGTTAGGTTTAACAAAAAAGGGATTTTTGAAGGAATTAGGATTCATTCTTGTTAGACCGTGAAAAGAGAAGAATTGAGGCCAGAGCTCTAAGGAGAAGGTTTGAGGCAAAAGCTTCGAAAGGTTTTATGAAAGATAAAGAGAAGGCTTAGAGTTGGTAATTAAGGTATGAGGAGTATTGCCTTCATTATTTTCAATGTGTGATTTCAATGTATTTAAAGCCAATTTAAGGGATTTAAAGGGTTTGAGGCTGATTTGTAAGATAAAGGGAATTAGGTCTTTATGGCCAAAATTCTATTTTTGAGGTTTTAACCGTATAGGGATTTGAATTGATGGCCTGATAGATTCGAGGCCGATTTGGGTTAAAGGAAATTAGGCCTTCGTGGCCAAAGATCTGGTTTAACATTTGTTTAACCCTGTAGGATAAGTGCTTTGTGATAAGTCTAACGACTATGGTGTAGTTGTAAGGATATATGGGAATTAGAGCGCGAATATGATACAGGATTGGCCTAATAAGTTGTAGATTTTGTGCCTACATCCCCGTAAGACCTTAGGGATGATTTAGGGATGCTTTGGGGGCATTGGGGAAGTGAATCGTGGGACTTTTGGGTTGATTTTAGGTTCTGGTGCGTAACAGTGTTTTGCTATAATCGTGTGTTCGCACAGCGAATGATGCTTGTCCCTGACTCGCACTGCAAAGAATCCTTCGCACAGCGAAGAAACTCGCCCCAGACTCGCACATTGAACTTGCTAGCGAACGTAGCAGATTTTCGCGAATTCTGACCTTGTGCAGTGATGCCTTGATGTTTTGATGTTGTGATTTCTTTGATGAATTACCATGAGTATGACTATGATTTCTACGTGATTAGTACATTATTATATGATGATTCCTATGATGTAATGATTATGAACTATGATGATATGTCCATGAGTTTTGATGATTCTATGATGACATGATATATCATGAAGATTGTGATGATGATGATTATGATGAATGATGATACACCTATGATGTTATTATGAGGATGATTATTGACGTGTGCATCATGCATTCATGTGCATCCGGACTTCGGTTCAGGACCTTGATTTCTTTGGCTTCAGTCCTATTATGCGGATGTGAGGTATATTGATGTGCTCTAGTTCTCGAGTAGAAT